AACCACAGCAGAATATGAATTCTTCTCAAGTACACATGTAATGTTCTCCAGGATAGACTGTATTCTAGGCCATGAAATAAATTAAAAAAAAAAAAAAACTTAAAAAAGAAAGAAAGAATGCAAAATATGTTCTTCAGCCACAATGGACCAAAATTTGAAACCAATAAAAGGGGAAAAGTAGGACAACTCATCTACATGTGCAAACGGAATAACATACTCTCAAAGAGGCAACAAGCCAAGGAAAATATCAAAGGGAAACAAAGAAAATACTTTCAAATGAAAAAAAAAATGAACATACAACACACGAAGATCTATGAGACCAAACTAAAGCAGAACTAGAGGAAAATTTATAGCTGTAAATGCCTATATTAAGACCCCCAAATCAATAACCTAATGCCCACCTCAAGACCCTGGAAAAAGAAAAGCAAACTAAACCTAAAGTAAATAGAAAGGAACTATAACAATTTCAGTGGAGATTAATAAAATGCAAAAGGAAAAACAATAGAGGAAAAGTGAAAAAAAATCCAGCTCTTTAAAAAGGTCAACATAACTGACAAACTTCTCAGCAGTTTTACCAAGGGAAAGAAAAGACTCAAATTACTGGAATCAGAAATAAAAGAGATACTACCACTGACTTCACAGAAAAGGAATACTATGAACACCACCAACAACAAATTAGATAGCTTAGACAAAATAGAAAAATTCCTAAAAAGATACAAACTACTAAAACAAACACAAGAAGAAACAGACAATAGAACATACCTATAACAAACAAAGAGAATGAGTCACTAATTTAATAAATACCCCTAGCGGGCACAGTGTCATGCACCTGTAATTACAGCTATTCAGGAAGCTCAGGCAGAAGGTTCACTTGAACCCAGGAATCTACGACCAGCCTGGGGAAAATAGTAAGACCCCATCTCAAAAAATTTAGATTAAATTTTTTTAAAGATACCCATAAAGAAAAGTTCAGAAACCAATGGCTTTCCAGTTGAACTCTACCGAACATTCAAAGAATTGATTCCAATTCTTCACAAACTCCTCCAAAAAACAGAAGAGGAAGAAACATTTCCCCCAATCATTTTTATAAGACCAATATTACCCTAATATATCAAAACCAGAAAAGAGACTGCAAGAAAAGAAAACTAAAGCACAATGTCTCTGAGCAACAAAAATCCTCAATAAAACATGATCAAACCAAGTCAGACAACATAAAATAAAGGACCATGGCCAGATGGGTTTATCCCAGCAATGCATAATTGGTTTATCATCCAAAAATCAGTAATTTATCATATCAACAGAATAAAACCAAAAATCACATAATTTCAACAGACACAGGAAATGCACTGACCAAAATCTAACACTCATTTATAATAAAAATACTAAACTAACTAGGAATAGAAACGCACTTCTTCAGCCTGACAAAGGGCAGCCAGAGAAGCCCACACTAATACCACACTTACCAGTAAAAGACAGAATGCCTTTCCAATAGGACAAGAAACAGACCCAATGTCTGCTCTCACCACTTCTACTTGACACTGTACCAGAAGTTCTTTCTAGAGCTATTAAGCCAGAAAAGGAAATAAAAAGTATCCAAACTGGAAAGGAAGAAGTAAAACCATCTCTACTCAGAACTGACATGATCTTACAGATAGACAACCCTAAGGAACTCTAGTTGAATAATGAGTACATTTGTTATATGTACTTATTTTATGTATGTACTTGTGTGTGTGTGTGTATATATGTGTGTGTGTGTGTGTGTGTGTACATGTTATATGTATTTATATATTCCTCAATAATATTATTTAAGGAAAATTAGAAAAAGGAAGTGTACGGGGTGGGGGGGTGCCTGGGGCTCAGCGGTAGCCTGGTATGTGTGAAGCACTGGGTTCAATTCTAAGTACTACATATAAATAAATAAAATAAAGGTCTATCAATAACTAAAAATAAAATTTTTAAAAAAAGGAAAAGAAATGTATGAAGAGAAATACATAACCCAGAATTCATACATTTCATACATACAGCTTGAACATTCTTACTCCAAAAAACTGAAATATTAAATGATCCAAAATTTGAAACTTCACTTTGAGCATCAGAAAGTTTTGGATATTGGAGCATTTTGGATTTGGGTTTTGGAATTATAGGTGCTCTGTCAGTGAAGCCTATGCAAATTTCAGATAAGGGATCTTCAACCTGCACCTAACAAAATTCTATTTCAAGAACGAGAGTGAATGGTTAAGTCAATAATTAGAGTAAGTCATATGTCTATGATTCAAAACATCACACTGTATACATACAGCCATTTTATCTTCAATTTTTTAAAATTTAAATGAGTGTGAAACAAGGAAATTTTTAGCTAAATGAAAACTAAGAGGTGGGCACAGTGGCACTGTAATCCCAGAGATTAGGGAGGCTGAGGCAGGAGGATAATAAATTTAAAAAAATAAAAAAGGCTGGGGATATGGTTCAATGTCAGGCATCCCTGAGTTCAATCTCTAGAACCAAAAAAACAAAACAAAACAAAAAAGATAACATTTATCAGCAGATTCTTTGAGGGGTATAATTTAGGAAGAGTGAAAGTGCAAGAAAGTCCGATTTCACAACTAAGGACAAAAACAGGGAGGAGGCCTTCTAAAGCCTAGAGGAGAAAAGCCACTCAGGACACAGTCCAGGCCGCTGGGAGGTGGGATCTACATTCTCACTGCTTGTCATTCCAACACACAAGTCCTAAATATAAACTGTAAGAAAATTACAGAGTACTCTTTTTAAATCATGGGCTCTAGCCACCACTTAAAACCAGACTGTCCTCAAGGGAAAATGTCCCAAGTTTCAAAGAATCTGCCAAACCATAAATATTTGGATTGCAAAAGGAGCCTGCTGGTCCACAGGAATACATATTTCTAGCAAAGGCAAAGAAAGGCTCCCAAGGGTTCCTACTGGGCGCACTTAAGAGTCTTACTGGAGGATTAGGAGCCATGTGACTTGGTGTCTAGAAAAGCTATTCCACCTGCAGGGTGTATGTAGATCCTAGCTCTAAAACTACCAGTCCTGCCAGGTGCAGTGTCATAAGCCTATAAACTCAGCAAGGGAGGCCAAGGCAGGAAGATCACAAGTCTGAGGCCAGCCTCAGCAACTTTGCGAAACCCTTTCTCAAAAACACAAAAAGGGCTGTAACTCAATGGTAGAGCATCCCTGGGACTAGTTCCCAGTACAAAAAAAAAAAAAAATTAAATTAAATAATTAAACTACCAGTCCTAAAACCACTCAGCATGGCTTTCACAACTATAAGTAAAACATTTCCAAACTACCCTGAGTATAAATCATATCCAGTGACTACTCAATAGTTTGTGCTGCTGTATCTTAATGACGTGAAAGCACTAAGAATTCCAAGTGAACAACACGCATCACAAGGCGCACACTGAAGCACGGCTGCATTGCTCTTACCCACTCTCCTTCATGTCCAAGTCATCAAACATCTGAATTAGGGAGATGGCAACATCATAGACATCCTTCGTTATCACTGGTTCCTCCAGGAGATGGGGAGAGAGCTGGAAAGAGAAAAGAAGAAAGTCAGACACCAAAACAGGGTGCAGGGGAAATGCTGGGATGGGTGGACAATTCTCACCTTCATGTCATTCTAACAAATACCCAAGTGAACACAACACCCTCTGCAGCAACACTTGAGCACTTGGTGTGGCACACACTGCCCAAGGGGGACACTTGGCACATACATCCTAAATTCATCAATCGCCTGACCCAGTCGTCAGAGCAGAGATGGAGTCAAGAGAATTCAGAGATGAAACGTTTGGCAGGAAATCTATTTTGAAGGCACAGGATAAGATGCATCAAAAGTCTAGGGACCCAAAGCCCTGCCTTCAAGAGCCCTAAGATTCCAAGGTCCTCAAATGCAAAACATACCAGGAAATGGCACAATCACATTCCTACCAATGTGCTAAAGGAAATGACAAGGGAGTGATCTGCCAAGGCTTCGGAGCTCACAAGACTACCTTTCACCATGTGTTAAAACAAAGCCACACTGAGCCCAGATACTATAACACTTCCCTTAAGGAGCCTCTACAGAACAATGGGCACCAGCCACACAACAACCATCTCCCCAGCACTGTTGGAAGGACCATTTGTGAGCACAGCTTTCCAGAAATTGAGATTGAGCTATCTAAGTGTCTACAATATCCACAGGACAGCTACAGCACAATTCCCACAGTCTATTTTATGGCCTTTCTGAATTTTTTCCAACAAGAATAGACGAATTCTTGATAGGGCAGAGGGGTGAGAGGGGAAAGGAGGGGGCAGGGGGTTAGCAATGATGGTGGAATGTGATGGACGTCATTATCCAAGGTACATGTATGAAGACATGAATTGGTGTGAACATACTTTATAAACAGAGATATGAAAAATTATGCTCTCTATGTTTAATAAGAATTGTAATGCATTCCACTGTCATGTATTTAAAAAATAAAATTTAAAAAGGAGGCTTTTATATAATTAAATTTTTTGCTTATCAACTACTATATGTAAAATACTGTTTTTTGTGAAAAACACATCAAAAGAAGTCTTCAGGTAATCAGAAGTTAAGCCCATATGGAAATTATTTTTTCTAATTTTTACTTGAGTAAATTAAATCAGCTAATAGCTAAACTGAAGTGATGTAAATATGACAAGTTGACTTCTGTTCACTAATAACTTTGAGGAAGCATGCCTCGTACATCCATTCCTAACATACAACCTCCACATATAAGAATTTCATTCTCTAGCCAACAATAACCAGTGTTCACTATAACACAACTGTACAGAAAGAAAGAAAGGAAAAGAGGAGAGAAGGCTATGTTCCACAAACTCCAATAGTGGCATGCAACCCCACCTAGAAGTCTTCCTATAAACAAGCCATGGAAAAGGAGTGTCAGGAAAAACTTGGAGACTCGGGTGGCTGAGGGGCTTCATCCCAGCTGAAGAGCGAAGAGTCGCTGGCAGTGCTGATCTCACAGCCACTCAGGGTTTTTTAGAACTTCAGCTATCAAAATGGGCAGAATTTTCCTTGATCATATTGGTGGTACCCATCTGTTTTCTTGTGCAAACTGTGACACGATCCTGACTAACCACTCAGAACTCATCTCCACTCGGTTCACAGGTGCCACCGGTAGAGCATTTCTTTTTAACAAGGTAGTTAACCTACAGGACAGTGAAGTTCAAGATCGGGTCATGCTCACTGGCTGCCACATGGTTCGAGATGTGAGCTGCAAAAACTGCAATAGCAAACTGAGATGGATCTATGAGTTTGCTACTGAAGACAGCCAGCATTATAAGGAAGGCCATGTGATCCTGGAACGTGCTCTAGTTGAAGAGAGTGAGGGCTTTGAGGAGCACGTACCATCTGTGAAGAAAAAGAGATAAATCCATCTTTTCCCAGGTCTCCTTCACTGAAAACAAAAATCTACTTACATACACTGTCACCTTAGCATCAGAGTCAGATTCATGAACTGCAGAACAAGAGGTTGTGAGAATCTAAGATGGAACTTTTCTTTTCTCTCCTTTTTTTTTTTTTTATTTTGTATTTTCCATCCAACAGCAGTGTGTAGAGAGAATATTATGCAGTTGTTGTTAATTTTTTTTCCCTATGTTTACATCTTGAGGCAGAAGAGTCTCTGCAGCTAAATGGTGGGCTAGGTGAGGAAATAGTGGGCTATTAGAGTGAAAAAAGTGTGTTTTATGTAAATTTTGAATGGCGAATAAGTTAAGAGCATGGTTTTTAAACTTATTTGGGCTTCATTTTTAAATATTTTTTTAACCCAGTTATTTCACTTGATTTGCTAGCTTCAGAGAAGAGATCTGAATCTGTGCCCAGCACTAAAGGCTCAGTGTTAGCATGGCTTGTGCTGGCCCATATTCTTGCTGGAGATGAACGTAGCACCAGAGCCCATTCTTCCTTGTCAGTCTCTACCCAAAGATGTCACCATTCCTAGTTACTTGTCACTACATAACTGGTGTTGATTGTAACATTTTTCTGAAATGGGACAGAACTGCTTGGTTGTCTTTTTCCATGTAACTTAAGCATAGTAATATAAATAAAGTAATAGTTGGATGTTTTTTAAAAAAAGAAAGAAAAGGAGTGTCAGTGATTCACAAGTAACTCCACTAAACTCTAGGAGCTGAGCCCCATGAGTATTTTTAAACACCTTGGTAGGGGCTGGGGTTGTGGCTCAGAGGTAGAGTGCTCATCTCGCACATGGGAGAACCTGGGTTCAATCCTCAGCACCACATAAAAATAAATAAGTGAAATAAAGGTATTGAAAAAAAAAAAACACCTTGGTAAGACACCAAATAGAGCCATGCTTTCCAAGTCAGCACTTGGAAAGGTCACAGGGACCCCTGCTGTGTATGGACTGGACAAAACATCGGCCCACATCACTGTTTTCCTGGACCAAGATACCGACAGTGAGCATAGGTGTGTACATGAGGGGATGGCATGAGAAGGGGCACTCCAGGGCACTCTGTGTCCCTCCACTCAAGTGGGTGGTCCTTGTGATTCTCTCCCCAGAATGAGGCAGTAATCACAGTACTTCTGTCCTAAGTGGAGGTCCAGGAGCCTTACACATCTGCCATCACAAGGACATACCCAGGCTGGCTAGTGGGTCCAAGAAGAAAGGAGGGATACATGTGGCAAATGAGAGAACGGCACTGCAGACAATGGGAAAATAAATGGTACCAAGACATCTAGGAATCCAGGTTAATTGGATTAAATACCTAAAAATAAGGAAAAAAACCCTATCAAGGATACATAAAAGGTATGCTTTAGGGTGGAGGAGGGTGGTCCAAAACTGACACACAGTAAGTCAAGGTACAGGATGCTCTACTGCTGGACCTGAGCTATGGATCATGGAAGTTTTCTCCACAATTACATTTACATGCTAAGCATGAGAAAGGCTCCGAGTTCCATCTCCAGCAGCCACCCCAACCACCAAATTAAAAAAAAAAAAAAAGAATATAAATAGTTAAGTCTTGTGTGTTCATTCATTAAAATAATCACTGTGTGCCTATCAGGTACCAAAGTCAAGCTGTTCAGTCAATAATGCCAAACAGGTGCTCCCCAGCCTGTGGAAAATAAGACACCTGGAGCCAAGGCAATCCTGGCTCTCTGGAGGCTGGGTGGTCCCAAGCAAAGGGGCTTAGAGAGCAAATGGCCATACCCAACTCTGCTCCTCAGCACAGCCACAAGGAATCATCTAAATAATTTGAGAGCTCTGACACATAATACAAAATAAACACCAAGAGGAATTAATTAAACTTTAGCCAAAGACCAGAAAATCATCATTACTCTCATAATCCAAAACTGTCAGGAAATGCAAAATGTTGAAATGTTACAAATAAGTGCTCCTTCCTCCCTGCTTCCCCTGAATAAGGGCTGCATTTGGTGACTAGTTTCAGAGAAAGAACAGTGTAGAAGGAAAGAGAAAGTGATGCTATGGTGGAGAAAACCAGCAAAAGATGAAGATCAACATCACCAGTGATGTCATGATATCTAATATGACAAGAACAGCATTTCACCTGTGTGGTCCTCTGCCACAAAAAACCATAACCAAATCTAACCATGAGGAAAAAAATAAAATAACCATCAAAAGCCAATAGACTGACTGGGGGAGTAGCTCAGTGATAGGGTGCTTGCCTAGCAAGTATGAAGCCCTTGGTTCCAACCCCTGCACTGCAAAAAAAAAAAATTAATAATTCCCATAGAGGTGCATTCTACAAAACACCTGACCAGGATTCCTGCAAACCATCAAGGTCATCAAAAGCAAGTAAAGTCTAAAAAGCTGTCAGTCAGAGGAGCCTAAGGAGACATAAAGACTAAATGTAATGCAGTATCCTGGATATGGTCCCAGGACAAAGGACACACTGGAAAAACTTGTGCAAACAATCAGAAGGAAATTCAATTAACAGAGATACACCAATGTTTGCTTCTTAGCTTTCCCAACAGTGAAAAGGAAGATAGGGGAGACCTTTTCTTTCTCAGATCTCCATGTTCTAAAGGAAATGCTGACTATAGAGTCTAGGATTAGAATAGGTAAGTGGGCGTTCACTACAATATTCTTTCCACTTTTCTGTTCTTTTGAAATACTGTCAATTTAAAATTGAATGAATAGGAATGCTACATTTAACAGCCAGTGCTGGCCTGCCTCCAACATGATTCAATTTGACAAACTGTCTCTTATGTCAGGTGAAACCTAGTCAACCACGTCATTGTGGTAGAAAGCATGGTTCAACATCAAAAATATTCCAACACAGATCAAACTCCTACACAGAGCAACGAGCAGCATCCACCAAAACCACAAATGCATGTGTCTTTGATCCAGCAGGGTCCTCAGTGCCAGGACCAAGGCAGGGTTATTTCCCAGGAATATTTAGCAATGTCATGGTGTAAGGGCATGAGGAGCACTGATTCCATTTGGGCATGGAGGCTGGGACTGAACTCTTGACGATGGACAGGCTGCCCCCACCACCTGACCCTGAATGCCAATAGTGCTGAGGTTAAGAAGCCCCGGCCCACTAACATGCTCTCAGGGGTGCACTAAGGTGTGAGCAGCAGTATTTGTGCTAAGACTGAAACTGAACCCCTTTAAGTTAAAAGCAACTTCCTGATAACTGCTTTTCTACATCCTCCATTTCCTCCTGCTGAGAATGAAAACTGAAAACTAACCCCTGGCCAAAGTTACCCCTAAGGAAACATGTTGGAACATGTTGGAACGAACATATTTCTTATTAGCATGGCAGAACTGAATCTACATGTGTATAAACCCTGCCTTTTGTCTCACTGCCCCCTCTCCTCTTAAGAAAGCTGTTCCTGCCCCTGAGCACCCCCCAACATGGAGATTTGAGAAAGAAAAGGACTCCCCTATCTTCCTCAAGGTTGCCTTTTGGAAGATTAGTGTTTTCTTTTCTATCAAAGTTAAATCTAGGGGCTGGGGCTGTAGCTCGGTTGTAGAGCACTTGACTTACAGAGCACTTGCCTCACACATGTGAAGCACTGGGTTCGCTCCTCATCCCAACATAAAAATAAATAAATATTTTTTAAAAGTTAAATCTATAATGTAACCCACAAACATTTTTATAGTAACTTAAATTTGACAATGTATAATAGAGCCATTTTAAGTTAAGAAACCATGTGGTCAGAATGTACCCATTTTTAAATTCCCTAAGGGGCATCCAATCACAGCTGTAGCCTTTCACCATACTCTCCCCAGATGTAAATTAGCTAATCACGTAGACTGTAAACCAGAATTCCTACCAGAGCAAGGGGCAGAACCCCGAACTCCTATCAGAACAAGGGGCGTACTGCCTGGCCAGGTGTGCTTGCTTGTAGAATTCCCTCTGGGGGCACACCCTTCTGCAGGGTACCTTGCCAACTCATTTCCTAGCACATTTGATTTCTTGCAGCACCCTGGTATTTCTAAAACTTTGAATAAACCTGCTTTCCTTCATCAACCTTTAGTAGAGCCAAGTGGTGGAAACTCCCTTCCAGTACCAAGACCAGAAACATTAGGGCTTATTTAAAAAAAGAATGGCATACATCCATGTGAACAAAGGTTACTGCAGCTCTCAAGAACACTACACACACTGATATGAAAAGAAACGAACAAGTAGATGAGAAAGCAAAATGAGCACAGAATGCTCCTGTTTCAGTGAAAGGTAACGCAGCACGCTCTTATTCATCCTCAGGAGTAAGCCTGAGGGAGATTTCACAAGAGGTCATGCAGAGTGGCTTCCGCTGCTGGGTGCCTGAAGACATAGGTGAGAAAGTGAGGAGAATGAGAATGTCTCTCCTCCTCCATGCACATGAATGGTGCTGGGTCCTGAGCCCAGGCCTCATGCATACTGGCAAGTGCTCCAACACTGAGCTGCACCCAGCAGGAATAGGAAGGAGAAGTGTCAGGCCTGCTTTCACTTTTTCACCTCAGAGTCTCTGAATGTTCCACCAAATGAAAGCAATTTCACATCCATGGCAACCTTCATGAGAATGTTTGCCCCAGTTCTTCCCGGTCACATCAATACACCTTACTCATACTAGAAAATGTAAGTCCAATCAAAATTTTATTTAAAATAAAATTACCTCTGACTCCCAAGTGAATCTACAACTTTGTACTGACCAAAATCTAACATTTTATTTTCAACATCAACAAAGTATGAAATCAGCCCCACTAATTTTCACAGGGATGTGCAATATGAGTATTTATGGTTCTCAGTTTATAACAACCACCTGGGAGTTTCCCTCCTTTGCTCTTCTACCTGCTCTGTCCCCTCTGCTCTAACTTCAAATTCTAATAATGCCTTGCAACCACAGATGGTAAGTGCAGGTTTGATCACATACAAAAGTCCAATCATTGCATAAGAAACAATCATTC